AGCTCCTGACTCGATACAAGGTGGGTGCTACCAGCAATCAGCAGATCTGTGTTCCGAATCGCTGAGAACAATCTGAAGGACCGTGAAGGAGAATTGCCAAGTCACTCCGATCAGCCAAAAGAAGGATCTCCAGTCCAAGAGGATTCCAAGTGACAAACGGATCCCCCTATCCTCACCGGTGAAGAGTCGTATTTCTCTGGAATCCAATTCGAAGAATTTCTCTGTTTTCTTCATCGTCCGTCGAGCTCTCCGGTTCGCTTTCACAATTCGGTCCCCTTCAGAGAAGATGTGGAGGAACCCGGCGAGATTCACAATGATCTTGCCCCACAAGGACATGGCTTTGGACGGACATGCGAAGTCAGGAACCGACAATGGCGTTCTCGTCACGAATCTGATGAAGAACTCGAGGTACATCGAAGTCAAAGACCCCGACAAGCGTTCGCTGAGCTCATTGCACAGCTGTGCGGATTTCCTGCTTTTTTCCGCCGCGTTCTCGACGTTTAGGCCTCTCAAGAGCTGCTGATTAATTTTGGAGCCTTTGCTCAGTTCATCCGCGATATCGGCATAGAGCAACACCGTTTCCACCTTGGCGATACCGTACGACATGCGAGGTAGGGACGCGAAGGGGGTGATTTGTAACTCCTGAAGGGTTTCCCGAGAAAATAAACTCGCGAGACTTCCCATATCACACACGAAATGAACAGTCACGATAAAAATGATTGAGATCTCTGTTGTCTTCTCATATTTGATTTTGTTGCGAGATGCACTCCTCTGTTGCAAGCGGTTCAGGTACAGATAGAAAATCTGACAATTTCGCAGCCACATTGCGAATAGCAGAAGATATCTCGAGTTAGAGATGCTATTCGTGCCCTCGTCGGCCAGGACCCCATGGATAAAGTTTAGAGCATGGTTCAGCACGACGATTGCACGGAGTAAGACATGCACCTTGAACGGCAGTTCAATGAAACCAAACGCGTAGAGCATCGGCTTGGAAAGCTCGAGATCGGTGAGGAGCATTACGGTATCTCAAAGTACTCAGAAAAAGTCAAGGGAATGTCAGATCCGAAGACGGCATCAGAAGTCGAGCTGAGGCCTCTGGTGTTCACTCATGATTGTTCACCCGCTGCCTCGCCTTAACCCACAGATCCTCCGATCGTGTCGGTCCCCGCTCGCTCGGCCTTTTGAAAGTCACACTGTCGACCGCGAGCAGCCTCCTCTCGGACAATGGAAAGATCCCGATCGAAGGATCTCCCGACTGATCGGAATGCGTCTCGTATCGATTAGCGATATGAGCTAGAGGAACTCCATTCGATACTTCTCTCAATTCTCCTGCTCGTGTCGAACAATCCCCTTCCCCGTTCATGGGTCTCTTTGACCTCGGGGCGAGACCAGGAGTCGGAGACCTTGGGGCTCAGCATCTTGGCCTGATGGCGAACGGCGCATTCCATACGATCTGGAAGAAGGTAAAGGCGAAACCCCATGCGATACCCAAGAAAGTGAAGGTACTCCTCCACCCTAGAGGTAGCCCGAATGCCACGACCACGCCTTGTTCTTCTTTGGTGTAGAGCTCAATCTCGACGGAACTTCGCATGAGGTAATCTTTCGTGAGGCGCGATTGTCGGCGAGCTCTACGATTCGAGTTCAGGACTCGATCTCCCATGGCGATGAGAAGGATGTTCCCGCTCAAGTGTGTGGAAATCCAGCTTATCCATGCCAGGAGTCTAGATGAACACTGTAAATTATTAATTGAAACAGGGGCTCCGACCACGAAGTGAACGAAAAATTCGGCGTATATCGACGTCAAAGGTCCACTGAGACTGCGAGAGAGCTCACTGACGAGTCTTGATGATTGAGTGCACTTTGCAGCAGCCGTTCGCGAGTCCAGGCCGGTCAGTATGTTTTCGTTCTCCATGAAACCTTTCCTGAGCTCTTCGTACACATCGATGCAGAGAAAAATGGCTTCGGCCTTAACAAAAGTATGCGCGGGGCCCAGAACGGATAAAAGATGGAAAGATATCGGATACTTGGCTCGCAATGTTTCGCCATGGATCAGAGCATACAGGATAGCTCTGCATCCCGTCGAGAAGTTCGCGATGAGGCCGAGAAGCATTAGCATCTCTGCGCTCGTCCTGTAGCGGGGTTTCTCCAAGAGCGAGTCAGCGTTTCGTAGACGGTTCCGATAGAGGTATATCGCTTGAACGTTTCGCGAACAGCCTGAGATTAACATGGCGTAACGTTCGACAGCGCCGAGGCTAGAGACGTAACAGAAAATCGCGTCGAACATGAAAGACGATACATGCAGTAGCAGCACAATTGCGCGTACGAGCAGGTGAGAGTTCCGGGGTAATTCGAGGAAGCCGAATACGAAGAGGAAAGGCAGAGATGGGTCGAAGCCGCTCGGGACCATGACGAGCGAATGTTTGTCCGAAAATAAGTCACTTCTCTCATCGCCCTGGAGTCTCCGACCTGATGTGAACTGGTGAGATTACCGATCAGCGATCACAAGTCATGCACGCAGCATCACCGAGATTGAACGGAGTTGGCAGAAAAGTTAATCGCGAGCTCTTTCGGTCGAACAAAGAGCGAGATCGATTGAGACGGACACAATGAATGCTTGAACTTGAGAACACAAAGTCCCTGCAGTGACGGCAGGGAGCCCTGTCTGACCAGATTGATTCAAAAGGAGACGAGTCCCCCTATGCTCCATCCCCTGTATCATTAAATTAAATCAAATAACTATAAAATCGCTATGTCTGTCTGACACCGAACCAATTTTTGGCGCTTCCCTTCTCCGAACCTCTCCCGATCGATGCGCAATCACCTCAGTGAGGTCGAGATATATTTTCCAAACTGCTCAGCCACAAATTTTCCGTGAAAATTACGCGCTTGTCCAGAAATCAAAAATGTCAAGCTGCTTCAATATGATGTCATCACTCATCTCACACTCAGTCAGCTCTACGGGCACGAGCCCACGAACTACATTCAATCGCTTGTATTAAGGAAGGATTCTCTACTCCATTTGTTCCACCGTTCGGTGAGCATGCCGATCACCGCATCCAGATCTCAATATAGTAGTGTGACAATATAGTAGTCCACGGCCAAGTCCATCATTCGCTTGGAGAACTCTATACCCGCGATGCTGAAGCGCCTCAATGTGTTCGGGTATTATTCATGGACAGTGAAGTGGCAGCCCACGAGCTCGCGGGTCGACAAGTTAATACGGACTGCCGTGAGATAATCTTTCGTCTTTTCCATGAAACCTTGAAGAACACTCATACTGATGTTCAAGCATTCAGGCTAATGTCCGCTGAGGCGCAAAGCGCCCTCAGGGCTGTGCTCCATGAAGGATAACCTCTCGAAGTACCGGCGAGATGGTGGCAGATTTTCTGTTTCCAGCAACACGAAAGCAACAATCCTCCGACATCACGTGTTTGTTCCGATAGAGTTCGGAAGCAACAGCCATTTAGTGCTGCCCGATCGTCTGATCACAGTTTTGTGAAAGAGCTGAGGAGAATAATTATTTGATTGAGCCTGTAGGGGGAGGAGGGGTCGGCCGAATCATTCCTCGGTGAACGTCCGTTCAACTTCGTTGACGAAAGAAAGAGCTGAGAATTCTGGGGCCGTAGATCTCTCTTGGTCCTCTCGGACAATTGTTCGCTGATGCATTCTATCCAATCTAGGGCTCGCTCGGAGATAAATCAGTTGCTAATCACTCGGTGCTTATTCTCGTCTGCATTTTTTTTATGGCCCGTTTTTCGCCCTCTCGCTCGGCTCTATGTTTCGAGCGAGCGGCGATGCGAGTTCCTCGGACGTATCGATCCCAACCGACCGAGGCGGGTCGTTGATATAATATCTGACGAAGCCATCGGAAGTGGAATGGCTTTCGATGTCCGAACACAATTCTAGGGAGAGACACGAATCGCCCATGGAACCGGTCTTCGTTCGCTCTGCCGAATATTCACTCCACTCGTGGCGCCGAGTTCCTCCGGCCCGAAGCTCGATCTCCATTGACTGGGGAATGTTAATTGTTGAGCAAGATCGAGACGATTCCGTTTCCAAATTTGAGTCGCTCGTGAGCTGCCCGTTGTGTTTTCAAACGCGGGAGATTCTTCACGCCACGCCCCGGAATTTCGCATTAGGCTCAATGATCAGTTGCTTGTCTCCGCTGCCCAGTATATCTCCCTACTGACCATTGAATTACAAGGGCGGGCTCGGGTCCTTTCGAATCGAGTCATCCGCTCATCGCTCAACAAACTTCTCAGTCCGTGTGCAATCCCAAGGGGGGTCCGTGGACGACCGATGAGGGAATTACCAGAGCAGCTTACTCGAGATCATTCTTGAAATTATTGTCCCCATCCAGTTGCGAGGATCCACTTTCCATTGGGAAAAGCAATTCAGCTGAGTCCTGATTAGCGCGAGCCCTGAATCAGATTCACTCTCGACGATAGCAAATTTCTGTCAGGACGATAAGACTTCCGAATCGGACTTGAGCGGGGATCATCAGTCATTAGACGTCAGTGAACACATTATCTTACGGCAGACTAATTAGCCGGAGAAAGCCAACGGTCATTTTTCAAGCAAGCAACGCCGGCGTTCCGTGGACTGCTTCACATCCACACCCCGCCGGAGTCGCGACTGTTTTCCACTAGACTCCGAGCAAGGCAGTCAATCCCGTAATCTCAAGCTGAGCAATCCAGCAGAGATAGGATCATGATCGCACAGTTCTAGGAGCTGATGGCGGCGAAGTAATCAGCTCCAGGGCAAATCTTCGAGTTTACTTTTCTGGAGGAGCATCAATTTATCAAAACCGCTTCTGCATCTACATAGACTATCGTCCTGTCGTGGAGAGAGGACGAAAAGCGTCGTCCCCTGGTCCGGAGCGTCCCTCGTCCTTTGGCGCCAAGGCCGCGAAGTCGATGAACTACGGGGTGGATGACCGGTACCTCCTCCAGAGCTCGTTCACCATATAAAAGAGGCCGACGCCCGAGTTTGACATCGCAGTTTACCGCCGATACCTCAACATGAAATCCGTTGTGAGTACCCTCTCTTCCTCGAACGACGGAGTGCGGGAACCTCGCTGATCCTCCTCCGGGCACGCCGACGATCTGGATACAGCGCCTCGTGGGCTCTTGCCGATGCATCTCCGGCGGCGTTTTAGTCTAGTGGAATCAGTGTCGGTCCTCTCTCGATAATCACTGATTCAATTTGTTCTCGTCTTGACGAATTCCTGAGGTCGTTGGTCCATTGACCTTCACATTGTTGTCCGTGATTTCTTCCCGAAGGCTCCGCATTCCTCTCAACAATCTAACATCGAAAATTTCTCTCGATTCAAGATCGCTCTCATCGCTCTCGTGGCCTGCATTGCCTGTGCCTCCGCTGGATACGTCTATACCGGAGGATACGCCGCTCCTGTTGCCTCATGGGGAACTCCTGTTTCCTACGGCTATGGCTACCCCGGCTACGCTCCGGTCACCTACCCCGGCTACGCTAGCTACGGCTACGGAGGAGTGTACTCTCCTGTCTATGGCGCTTACGGATATGGCCGCAAGTGAGTGAAGCCCTGATGCTCCGATGGTGCTTTGAATGCTACCAGCCGATGACCCCTGGACCGTACCTTCTGTGGAGAGTGAAGAGCAAATAAACTATTGGAAAATTCAATAGACGAAGGACATCGCTTCAATCTTTTGCTGATTGTTCCTCCAACTCTAGTTATCAGAGCTACAGTCGTTCCTCTCGCCTGTCACGTTGTTATCCCGAGATGGAGGATGGGTCTTCCAGAGTGCTGAAGCGGATAGTCGTGCTTCCCAATGAGTTCCCTGTTCGACCTGATGATTCCAAAGAATAAGTCCGCTGATCCTGCCGAGCCACTAAACTGCTGGTAACTTCTTTTACTCAGAAGAAGTCTGGAGTTCCCCAGGCCAGCTGAGGGAAATCGTCACTGTCCAATATCGGGAGGGATGAGTTGCGACGACGATTGCATCTCTCAGTCAATTGACGTCCCCGGGAAGCCCCCTTTCAGGCGTACACGAAGTCCGAATCTTCCAAGCATCCCTCTCCGAGGCCAGAACATTGATCGATCTCGTCTCCATCCGAAGAATCAGGAGAATCCCGGGATGGGAATTCCGAAGCTCGTTCGCATGCTCGGTATACTTCCAGCCGGGATATCGGTCGAATCTTTTTGGTCATATTTCCACCTCTGAATTCCCTGTATCATTGATTATTATCATACCCGGATTTGCACTCGTAGAAGTTGCTGAGATGAGTCGACCCGCATCACATTCATATCATTCGCCAGGTGGGGCGTAATTTGATGAGCTCTTCGAAGTCGCCCCTTAGCCCACTTGGATTTTCTGCACTCCTGGCACGTGCGTCGATGATTCTCTTAAGAAGGCTTAAGCGCCTCTCCCTCTAGGCCTTCTTCAGTCCCTGTTCCTCCGCACGCCACTCAACCAAAAAAATACCTCTCGATCCGTCATAAATGTTAAGAGCTTGAAGAGATAGAGACAATCCCTCAATCCGAAGGATTAAGGGACTGCAGAATTGTGAGACCTATATTCTGCGAACTCCAGTTATCGGGGAAGAGTCCCTCTGGAACGAATGTCCTACTGTCAGACCCACCTTAGTGATAGGTAAATGCTGAGGTGAGGATGGGGGCATCGATATAAAACTTTTTTATCGATCTTCAGTGATTTCATCGCTAAACGGCGAAAGTATATCAGAAGCGTCCCGCCTTGAGTCCGAAGCGCGTCACATGGAGTCACAAATTTTATTGACCACAGAACTTCTCTTCGCCAATGCAGTAATTGCTCGTTCGGGAGCGGCCTTGTCCGCGAATGGTCGTCGCAGAAGAATCTAGGGATCCTTACACGGCAGTGATCGTTTGCTGTGGCGAGTTCTTACCCGAACCGGTATGGAATACCCTCTGATCCATTCGACAGAGGATCAGCGATCGAAATGCCGTCGACCCCTGCCGTACTCAAAAGAACCGAAAGTGTAATTACGAATGTGTATCGCATTTTGGCACCTCGCTAGATAAAACTTCATGGTTCGATCCCCGATAAATAGTTGGTTCGAGCCATTCGTTACCGAGAACATTATCCGGCTCCTCGGCGACCGGTATCAGATAAGCTCATTCGTTTCGTATAATTCATCTGCTCGTGCTTGTGGGTGCTTATCACATGGGGGCATTCGTCAACCTCGTCGATAAACTCTCCCACCCTGTGAATATCCCGACCGACGATCAAGTTTCCATTCCTTGAGGAAAGGGTTCTCCCAGAATGAAGCTCGACGCAATTTCGACGAAACGCATTGATAGCAGTCAAGCGTCTTTCGATGCTGAAGTGTTTCCCTATCAGAGAGCGAACATGGCACGAGGGTGGGACAGTGAGCTTAGACAGTTTTCTCAGACTAGATCGAACAGTTTTGCAACCTAATATGCTTGTTTTTTCTGTCCATTCTTTGATTTCGATGAGAATGCGTCAGAAGGCGATCGCGCGATTGGACCAATCTTCACGTCGAAGCTCGATCCAATCAACTCAGAAGGCTCCGAAACGACTTGACTCGATGGGGTGGAGCTCCATCGGCACGAGTATTAGAACAGAGTGATCGATTCAAAGTCGAACGTGTAACGATTTGCTGTATGTGTCTCCTCCGCCCGAATTCAGGGATCAGATCGACCATGTCAGGCGGTGCAAAAATCCGCGTCCATGAGTACTAATTACATATCAATCTGCAACCTTCAGGGAGCAACTCAACAAGGAAAAAGTGGCTGTTAAGTGAGCGCTGATCCTGGAGGAATCGGAGGATATCTACATCGTTCGGCTGCGTTTCCTCGAAACGACAGGAACATCTTTGTTAAAAACTCGACGACACATGCCTGCGCAGACAATGGCCCCCTCAACCTGTAACTCGAGAACCTCGTGATCAAACTGCCATCGCTCGGGTCCTATGAGCGAGAGATTATCCCCCACAACAATTGGGAAAACTGTGCGACGTTGATTCTCATTCTTTATACCCATGCTCAAGCGCAAAGTTCGGAAGGGGTTCCCCGAAACTACCGAAACTTCTCGACTCTGTTTGTTGAGAGCCACAATATACAACTCCTGTAAGTACAAACTGTCTCCGTTGCCAAATCGCCGGATTCCGTCAGCTGCCATCATGAAATAGATTACATCCTGAGAAAGCCCTCGCAGCTCATACATAATTTGACACGAGATTGTGGGCAGATCGATTTTGAGAATCCCAGACTTGTCTCTGAGAACAAGGCGGTCGAACCTCTTCAAGTCGCCGATTATGGGCTGATAGGTGTCTGGAGTGAGCACGTCTTTGGGCTCTCTGGAATCGAGACGGAACTCACAATTAGACCCCGCAGCAGCCCGCTCGAACCCGAGCTATATAGGATCACTTGGCCAAGCGGCTCTTGGTTAGAAATTCGCAATGAATAAAGGAATCCTACCGAATCAGCGTCGCTTTCTCGTCAAGATCGAAGATGTGAACGCATTCTTTGTCCTTGCTGAATGACATTGAATATTTCCCGTTCCCGTTTGGATGGAAAAGTCCTGCTCCTAGCGTTGCTTGTCGCACGGAGCGGCAATTGCTCTGGGAAGAATGCGTAAATTAGGGATCAGATGATTTTCTCCGAAGACTTTTCTGATCAGCGACACCGAAGATTTGTTTCCGATCGGGATGCTTCGGATTGGATGGGATTCTCACCACGATGATCGGAGTCTGATTCGATACAGACCATCCTCTAGCGACCGACAACAATGTGAGATTCGGGATTTCATCATACCAGTGAGCCACCATTATGGCTAGATCGCTGGGCTCCTCACGATTCGCTTCAGCGAAGTAAACATCGAAACAGGTGATGAACTCTAATTGAAATGAAGGGATATATTGGCTGGTTTCCTTGCGTAAGTTCGAGGGAGATCTAGCTACGCAATACGGGCTTGAACCTACCAACGTCACCGATGCCCTCCAGATGAATTCTTCGCGCCTCTTCGCCAGACGGGGTGATGCAGGGTTCCAGGTATAAATGCTTCTTCCTATGACGCCCGGCTAGGGTGCCTTGAGGTGTTAGAATCACTGTTGTGTTATAGAAAGCATCGGCTTTCTCTATCGTCGATACTACAAGGTGCAGTTCGTTCTGGCGCGCGATTTCCGCGAGAGCGCAAAGCGTTGCCTGATTCGAGGGGTCTGGTGCTTGACCTATGCGCGGGAGGACTTCCGCTGTAACGAATCTGTCTTGGGGTGCGATTCCGGTGAGAGCGCCCATTTCTGGACAGACGAGGAGCTGGCAACCCTGGAAGGAGATACAAAACGTGAGACAACGTCTCGGGCCCGAGTGGAATACTCCTCATTCAGGGTCATCGTATCCAAGTATCACCGTGTTACAGCTCAACGAGACCATCTCTACGAGAGCCGGCAGACCGGGTCCGTCCACTTCGTCTACCTCATGCCGGTCGGGGAAGATTGGGTTCATCGAAGCTTGAGAAGTTCGCAAGACGAATAAGCCCGAGCTCACTCGTTCTCTAGAAGTCTCAGCGCTCGCAGATTCTATATTCCTCGCTTCGACCGCAGTGAACTCAATACTTCTTCGTCGAAATGTGATTTTGATTAGCCAGACTTCTCGGTCATCTTGATTTTTGTGTTTTCGGGTCGACATCCCTAATCCCTACCGGCCCGGCATATCGTTTCCTCCACATGAGTGATGACTACCAAAGAGAAAAGCGGATTGACCGTCCTAGCAGTCAAGGTGTCCAGGTCTTGTTGCTATCACTCTTCCCGCAACGAATGCTTCCGAGTCGAAGGGTATCGCGCCCGACGTTTGTCGCAGCAGTCAGTGGAAGCCTTTCTGTCGCAAGACAGCCGTTCGCCATAGCTGGAAGGCGATTCGGCCATTCCAAGATGGCGGCACCCACCGTCCGACCCGCAGTGCGACTGTCCGCTCGATTCGAATCGACTTTTGCCTATAAAACCATCAAAGATCGCCTTCCTGTGATCCTGACGAAGGTCATAGACCACTTGAGCAGACGTGCTGATCAGATCGAGAGCGTGTATGGCTCTGAAAGTCGTGAGGAGGTCAAACAGACGATAGGTGAGCGCGCTCTTGTGGAACTCTCCAGCGAGATGACTTTCGAGGATCCAACGAAGCCCTTCGAGGTGTTCTCGACGGAGTTCTGATGACAGCTATCCGCGATCAGGTTCACTGGAGTATTTTTTCGCAGTTAGATCGAGGTTCCCTGCTGCCGTGGGGAGATCGGATCTTAGAGCCTCGGAGAGATTCCTCCTTTCCATCTTATTAGTTTTTTCCTCTCTTGCTCGAGGTGACCGTCCGTTCGACCGGCAGAGACGACCAAAGTCCATCGAGTCTGAGAATTTGGCCGCGGCTCCTGAAGGTCCCGCTGTCGCTCATTTGAGGACTTTCCAACTTGCAGGCAGACTATCGAAACTTCGGAACGAGCTCCAGACCAACAAAGACTACATTTCGATAGAGGACTCATACTCCGACTCCGTCATCTGGAATGAGCAGATACCCCGTGAGGAGTCTCCGAGATGGTTCGAAGGAAGCTGGCTGTTCGCCGAATGCTATTTTTATCGTCGAATCTTCGAAGCCTTCCAGGTCGCTGTCGATGCTTTCTCTTGCAAAATATACTGTAGTAGTAGTCGTCATTATTCAGGAGGCACTATCTACTCGATTCATGCACCAATCACGGAGATCGATAGTTTAGAAAAAAGCGTCCTCAGCCGGGACATCGAAGCAACATGTTGACGAAGCTCTCTTAGGCCGCGAATGCGATGATAGAGAGTTTCTCTCAGCTCATCGTTCGGGAGGGAGCCTGTTGCCGTTTTGACCGAATCGATCCCATCGATGAAACCGCCGCCTAAAAATAAATCGCTCCCTCTTTTTTCCAGTTGGCAAAACACCTGGAGCGGTACGATTATTTCAGCGAGCAAAAACAAGCTGCTCTCACGAACTCTATGACAGCCATCCACGCTCTCACGGGTCAGTCTAATCTCGTGTTTTCCGCTGGCCGTACAGTTGTCCAATCGCTTATGTTAATTCGCGTCTTACGTCACGCTCTCGGGAGGAACATCCCTTCCATGTCATATCGCCGAGACTCTCAACGTGATCCATCCGACTTAATCGTGATGGAATGGGACCGAGTTGGCACACTTTCGGGTCGTCCAGTGACTCTCTGGTGATGACCGCAAGCGACAGAGGCGGAAACGTTCGATGTAAACATGCTGGAGCGAATCTCGACGAGTACTCAACACCCTACTTTCTGCTCTTCTCACTGTCTCACTGGATGGTGCATCCAGACATTCGTCTCTCTTTCGAAGTTCGAGTCGATTCATGGGGAAAAACATGGAAGTCCTCCCATAGACTTTTTAGACAACAGTATATTCGACTGAACTCCGATCATCTCTCGCGGATACATAGGATATCGTGAAGAGCATCCGCATGAATTGAAAGCTCAACTCCTCAGGACTGGTCTGTATTTCCTCAGAGTCGGTTGAGACAACCAAGATCGATGTCGAGACCCTGTGGACAGTTTCCCTCTGGGGTAACAAGTGCGACCTTTCCTTGTCTAATGGGCAAGACAACAGTCAGGAGGAGGACCCAATTCTCCAACTGCAGAAATACGACTGCCGCATCCTGCACAACGACATCAAGCTCGTCGCGGAGCTTGTCCGGAGCAAGAACAATCTTAAGGTGAGAGACATTCGACGATGGAGACCGTGGGTTTCACGGAATTCCTCCACGAAACGGATTGATCCCGGACTAGAACTGAGGAGTTCCTTATTTGAGATTGTCTGTCGCAATGAGGACATCCAGGGATCTCGTGACGGCCGACTTCTGGATAATGAAATTCATTCTAAGAAAAATCGACCTAATTTTCCAGTTGGCTGTGATACTTGACAACGCGGGCTTTGAGTTGGTCACCGACCTGATACTCTTGGACCATCTGACCAGTTATGGACACGCTTCAGAAATCCGACTCTACGTGAAAATGATGCCGTGGTTCGTCTCGGACGCGTTAACACACGACGTCCTCTACGTGATCGATACACTCGAAGCATCGAAGGTCCCGAGCACTGCCGCCCTGGGGCGGAGGTGCAAGGGATACCTCGACTCCAAGCAGTGGACAGTCCACGAGCGAAGCTATTGGACCTTGCCCTACGATTACTCAGAGATGAAGGAAGTCGACCCCAAGCTTTACGACGAATTATCTGGAGCCGACTTGCTTGTCTTCAAAGGTGATCTGAACTACCGGAAACTTGTCGGTGACCGAGCCTGGAAAGTCGACATCGACTTCCAACAATCTCTCTTAGGGTTCAGACCGTCTCCCTTGGTCACTCTGCGAACTATCAAAGCCGACACTGTCACGGGCCTGGAAGTCGGGGTCGCGGAGAAAGCGGCCTCATCCGATCCGAACTGGATGATCACGGGCGAATTCGCGGTGGTTCAATACGTGCCATAGTTATTCTTGTAGGATTGTTTGATAAATGTGTAATTTTTCTCGGCTTTGTGGAGCTGTCTTGTTTCGTGCAGTCTTCTCAAGTCCCAGCTCGGGGCAGTGTTTCGAGAGGACCTTGAGACAATTCTCGACTTCAGGATCGGTAGGAAGGGGAGAACCGTACAAGGAGTGCGCTTCGAATGGTTTTCGCCTTCCGAACGATTCGTAGAGAGCCTTGAACTTGACAATGAAGACGAGGACGCGCTTTCCGTCGACTATCGGCCTGCCCACTCAATGGTCCTGTAAAGCGCGGAATCAACAGTGTGGTGGTCCTCTATAGTTCTATAGCACCGAGGTCCTCTTCCGGATGGTTTCACACAACGGAGGACAATTTGTTCAGGGAAAGACGTCCCGCGGAAATATGAGGGAAGAAAGAGAATAATAGGGTCTGTTCCTCCGGAGAATAATGAGGTCAAGGCTTATCGATCGTCTCTGTTGACAGTTTAAGGCGGTCATCCGAAGCGCAGAGATCTCGTGGCTGATCTCATCCTCATACCGTCTTCGCGAGCGATTGCGGACATAGCACTACATTGGGCTCCAACAGATTGTCTTTCGGTGAATGGATCTATGTCATCTACGACGCGTATCGTACACAACACTCTTCTTACGGAGAGCGGGCGCTGATTTCCGCGTTGCTCGAGTTACAGCAGCTGAAAAATTGTCACGGATCACGAACCTGCTCTTTCGCAAACTTCGCGGTTTCTTCATACAAATGGAGGGTGTCCTGGAGGGTTTCCTCGGGTGGCGTTGTCGAGGGGAACTTCACACCTTGCTCGAGTACGCAAACTTTCATTTTTCGGCAGGGGTCACTTTTGTTCGTTTCCGGAATCCTTCCGAACGATATTCCTCGTTCACGAGTCGTCCGCTCTTGAGAGTTTTCAAAGGCGCGGTTTTCAGTGCGCGCCAAGACTCGCCGACTGAAGAGCTTCTTCTCCGAGCACTGACAATTACAAAATGAGCTATTGTCGCTCCTACTATGCGGGTGCCATCTGATGTTGGTCACGCTGTCACTTCTCGATGATGCTCGTTATCACAAGCGTCACAACTACGAGAACTTGAACTAACAAAACATGGTTTGAGATCAGGGTGAGTGAGTTTCGCACGATCATGAAAAAATCCCTGTGCTGAGCGCGACCCACTGCCGCTGGATGATCATAGTTCTGGTCCAGGTTCTGTCCTGGTCTATTTAAAAATAAGTGAGAAAGAGAGACTCGTCTACGGTGTCGCGCAGATCGCCAAGCTAGAGAGAGAATCTCCAACGAGAGCCTGCTCGCAGGCTGTCGAATCGTAAAAGCAGACCGAGATCACAACATGAACGCGAACGATGGAGATAATGTCCGACTAGACAAGTGGCCCACGCTTAGCTGTCCACACGGAACATTGTCGTCGCTCGATGTCCGTCATCCATCTCCCTTTCGGGATTCGGGAGTCGATTAGGTCTCAGGTCTGACGATTTCGGAAAACCATTATGCGTCCTGAGTTCGTGGAAATGTCCTGATGGGGAAATCCAATCCATGGATACGAAAAGAGAAGTACTGCGACGCATTCCCTTTGTTCTCACGTGTCGGAAAATTGTCCTCGAGCGTCGCGCGCAGCAGGGATGCCGTTTGTGTCAACGCACATTCTCAGTTTGACGACGTCGCTTCGCAGATCTTGATGATGTTCGAAGGCAAGATGCCACGATGGTCTCGACGAGACATCGAGGTGGGCGGGAAAACCCATCCGATGAGGCGTAAATTTTGAAAAACCGAAGAGCCGACGCCGACGGTTTTCCATCCTTAGTATGTAGCGGATGCCATCATATACGAATTCAATTAGGGGAATCGTTCCTCAGATATAATCAGTGATCCCGGCATGGAATGCCTGCATGAAAGCTGAATCGAGCAGTCGCGATAGCTCTTGTCCGAGAATCTGCTAGTCATCACGCTGAGTGACCGCTGGACCCGATGAGTCAAAGGTTGCGGACGAGAACGAAAGCTTACCTAGTCCAACTTTCTTCCCGATGCTCTCCTCGGTTTTTCATTGGAGAACATTTAGGGATTACCGGCGGATCAAAGTCCCCGATGATGTCGGACCGCTGCGAGAATTGAGCCTAATCACAATCACCAATCACAGCAACATAAACAATGAGTGGGTTTGTTTCTTTTCATGCCGATATGGGACGGGAATGGAAGATCGGAGATTTCGCTGACAAAACGATTGTTTTCGGGATTCCTCATGCCGGGGCCAAAGCTCGACTGTCCAGGAGTGAGCCTTCATCATCCGTCGCTGAGGATTCGTGGGGTCCGTTCGGCACCGATGCGTCGTCCTCCTGCAATCTCCATTGTGTAGGGCAGGCTTCAGAGAGTCTGAGGGAAGAGGAGGTGAGCCGCGGAAGATCTCTCGGAGCATCGAGCCATGGCGACCCGCCCCCGTGCCAGAAGACTAATCTGGTCTGAATCTCAGAATAGGGGGTTTTGAGATCTTTCCACTGAATCGAGTTCTATCAAAACCGCGTTGTGTACTCCTTCCCAAGTTTTACGACGAGTACAGCGGCAGCCAGATAATCTTCTCCGAGGATGACAAGACGTCCAGGCAGAGGAGATCGTTCCAACTCACCGTTCCGAGGATAGGAGCCGGGCAAAAGTCGGGGAATGTGACACGGGATGAAGGATCACTCACGATCCGAAAAAAATTGTTGATCACTCGGTAAGCCTGGATTCGGAGTCATAAATCCCCCCGGAGATACTCGACCTCCGAACCGCTGCACCGACTAGATGGAAAGTATAAACATCGATCGATGCTCCGACTCGGACAGAGTTCGGGGATTTTCCTCATAGTCATATTGAAGCTCCGCATCGTATACATCGTATTTTTTTATTTCATTCTCCTTCTATTTCCAAAAGGGTTTTTGATCGCCTACAAAATATCACATCCTCATTCGAAAGTTTTGAGCACGTAAGAATCCTCACAGGGGACGCCTCGAGTCTTGGGGTAATCTTCTCTCTCTCTGGAAGAAATCTCTCACAGAAAATCATTACGACCCGATTATTACCCTAAGTCAGGATCGTGGATGATACAGAAAAGAGAGCGTGTATCTTATCTCAGCACCTCGAAACACATCGCGGACGATTTTTGCGCGGCTCAACGCTGGCAACATGCATCGAATTAGTCGATCAAGATCTTCGTTCCAAATCGCTGTGAACTGTGTCTCGGGTGTTTTTATTATTTTTCCGAGTTTTCGCTCGTTGTCCGAGATAATCACCTGTGAGGACTTGTTTTTCGTCGTTGAAAATCCGAGCCCGGGACACGCCCCTACACACTGGCTCCGCGGGCCAAGAGTTCGCGGTCCGGAAAAGTCCGCCAAGATGCCGACGGACATCGAACGGTACGCTTACAGCGAGGAAGGAGCATGCGCAAGGTCTTGCATCGGAATACGGGAGGATTCGGAGCGGAATGCCGCGGATCTTTGCGGACGTTCGGCAGCACAAAATTCCAACCCAGAAGTCTGTGGAGAGCGTCGCGGCATCCGCCTCCTCGACTGTGTCAATTGGGTCGCTCGAAAGTTGAATTTTCACTTCGACTCGCCGCCTCGTCGGTTTTCTTGAGGTTTTTCTTGTTGTCTTCCTCCTCGGTTTCCGCGCCGTCTCCCAGTGCCTCGTGAGTTTCTTTCCCCACGGCACTCAGTCCAAGTCTGGTACCCGATAATTAATCGATACCCGAAAAGAACGCCTCGAGCGCCAGAAGCGAATGGCTGCGAGTTCTTCGCCAAGCTTGAAGATCATTCCGAGGACGGGCACGCAGATTGCAACAGACTCAGGGGTTCCCCGGACCCTCATCATTATATCCGCTAAAAGTTCCGGAGCCGAATCAAAAGCACACTCGCGGAATATGAATTCTGTGTCCGATACACGATGCATGACCCTGAGGGAAGGGTTTCCCGTAGGAGGAAACTCGAACTTCACCCCATCCAATGAATCGCCAAATATTGACCCTGGAAACTCCGAGCACGGACAGCTCGCGCCTTCAGGGGGTTCCCGAGCTCGGTTCCGTTTCCGAGTGTTCCCTCCCTGTAATTCGTCCATGAGACTACAGAACTTCCAGAATCCTCAGCGGAGCGTGGGAATCCCGAAAGTCATTCTCATCGAGCGGACAATTGATTCCTCGATGCGGAGGAACGATCGACATGACACAGGTGAGAAACATTCGGACGCCAAATCGATCATTTATCTGTACACATTCCGGGCAGACAAGTCTGGCCAATGCATACTTAATCGGACAGAGACGGTCTCAAGATGGGTCTAGGTGAAACAATTTACACGGAGTTCGATGATCTTGAAGATCCGCCTCTCGCGGCTCTTGGGAGTTCCTTCCCCATTAAAGCCTCTGATCGTCTTCGTCAGCTTCATCATCGCCAACATCAACACGAGACCGATTATGCAAACTCCGGAGCCGTCGACTAATGCGGAAATTATGCCGCTTTGAACACACGTGCTCGGTGCTCGTTAAGAATAGAAAAGAGACAGATGAAGCCTCTGACCATTTCACGGCTGCTGGAAAATTCGGCAGAATGGCTACCACAATACAAAGAGGGAATATTTTCGACGTTCTATTGAAAGGTTCTCGTGTCGATTCTATGTGTTCAGGGAAAATTAGACACGATGCTGGGCCTTTCCGAATTGCAGGGGGTATCAATCTCGCGCTGCTTCACTTTTCTTTGACTGTGGGATAGCCCCTCAGCGAGAATGGAGTGGAAAATGGTTTCCGATACTCCGAGAATCCGCATGTGTAAAAAATTTTGACCGATATTCGAACTTCAGACATTCTTCTGCGATCGCCTCGTTTTTTCGCCTTGCTCCCCATCCGCTCTTCCTCCTCCTCCTGCTTCGAGCACATCAGAATGGAGAAGCCGAGAAAAAATTCGAAAACAAGCCACAGAAGAAGAAGTTCACCGCTCAAATAACTGACATACAACTTTCGCCTGCTCCACATACCTCCATCCGTCTTGACGGATGGAATCATCACGGCGCGGCGCATCGACGCCGGACAGCTGATCTGAGCCTCAGCTTACCACTCCAGCTCAGAAAACCGCGCAAAGACGTCCCCATAGGAAGGTGACTTATTCAAGGTGAGAACTCCCATCAGCCATCAGACGGACCTGAAGATGCTCTTCTCTGGATCGGACAAAATATATAACACACTATGTATATGTTATGAATCATGCTATCACATCCTTGTATAAGACGTTTAATCCGGATGAATTCTCAGGGTCTCCACGAGAAGAGAGGTTTCAAGACCAGAGAACTCTTAAATACTCCCCGCGAGGTCGGATCGACTCATCCACCCCTACGATATGATGCTCGTTCCGAAAAGTATTCATATGGACCTCGGCTCTCTGGAACACCGTATTTTATTCAGCGTGTCCGAGCGGCAAAATTATTGTCAGGAATCTCGGGAGCCGGATATGGGGTTATCCTTGGGGTCTTCCCTGAACGATCGAGTCCATCTTCGAAGCAATGACTCGAATCATTGTGACCGCAAGCAGGCAGTCGACATCTCTCAGGAATCTGGATCCTCAGAATATTCTAAACGACCACTGGTACAGAGATTTAGCATATGAGCGCTCGCGAGTAGATGAGGAACGCGTCGATGTTCGGGACGGCCGTCAAAGTCCTGAGAACTGGTATGTAATAAATGGAAGAAGCAAAGAGCAGAATCCGAAAGAGGTCTGAGACGATAATGGAGACAGAAGAGATAGCGTAAAAACATCCGGATGTTCTGTTTGTAGATGGCGCTTAAGAAAAATGAGGTAGACGCGTGCTGATGAAGCCTCCTATAGGTCTTGTTGAAAATATCGGCCCTGGATCGGGACCTTCGTCCGCCGCTCATTGCGTCGAACGGAATTAAACCGCCCGAGAACGGACCGACAGTCAATCAGAGCAGGACAATAAGAGGAAA